GGACTACATGTGTATCAATCAAATCTGAATCCTATAGAATGCTTTTCTCCTTTTTCCTATTTATATCGGTCACCTTTTGAAATCGACATGTCTGGAATAGACAACGGTACAGAATAATAAGTAATGCACGGGTTTGGGATGGGATTTTTTTTTTTTTTCCAAAATCCAAATAACTGGAGAAAGAGTTCTTCCCTTTTTGTACCATGAGATACACACAAAATAGGAGCATTATCATAAAAAGCCTTCATTTTGACACCAGAATTCCTGTTTCCGCACAAATTAAAATGATCCCCAGAGGCATAAAGTACACAGGCTTTATTGGTCAGCAGCAATGAGCCACGCGGGCACACAACGAAAGGACGACCGGTCAGAAACACGCAGGATCACATGTGTATCATCACGGGACCGAGGATTTAAATCATCTGGGAGTTCCTGCTAAATTAAAGCATCCTGTGCCAGAGCTTCCCGCTAATGAAAGAACCCGGTCCTGGTGGGTATGTCAATGTGCATTACACGGACGAATCTACTAATGAGGAGGCCGCCGACTCCTAGATGAGTTTACGGCTAGCCCCCCTGCAACAAAATCCTAGAGTGGCCACCATTTTTGTGTGCTAATACCGCGTGCCCCCCAGCAGTCCCCCCCCCACAAACGCAGTATCCACTGACGTTGCCCAGTGACGTTAACAGCCGGCACCCCAAGCACGCGGTGACGGAGACGCCGGATCCGCAGGAACAGCGCCAGGGCGTGAGCAGAGGCCGCGCAGCACGAGGTCTCGGGGACGCTGCCCGCACGGTGGCAATGCCTCTCGGTTCCCTTCCGAAACACAAGACGTAGTTTCCCAAGATGAAATGAACATCATTAATGGAAATATTTTCCAATAAGTGTACGTGGCAAAAGGTTTTACATGAAAGGAAGGGGGGAGAAGGAAAATCTGTTATATTTACAAGCTCCTTTTATGTTTTTTGATGACAACAAAGCTGGAAGTAACGGGATTTTGATGCAAATCAAGTATCTCATCAAAAACTCAGGTCACACACACACACACACACACACACACACTTAAACACACACACAAAAGGTTAAAGATAAAAACAGCTGAGAGGTGTTTGTCTCCAACAGGACGGCGTGGAAGCATGTGTAGGTCCCAGTGGCGATCTTGGCAAAGGTTTAAAATGCTGCCCCGCAAAGGCATGAGGGCTTTCCCATCCCGACCCCAGTAAAAACAAAACAAAGTATAAAAGCAAAACTCTGGAAAAGGAGAAGAGGCATTATTGTGTCCATTCCCAATGAGCACAGAACTCAAAATACATTCAGAAGTTGTCAGTGTGACCTAAGCTTTCAGCAGAGAGCACACAGAGGGGAGCAGACACGGGTACCGCAGCCGACTGCACACAAAAGGGCTTAGGAAGGGAAGCTGGCCTGGGGCCCGGATGGGACGACACCAACGGCGGGAGACATCCCAGCTCGCGGTCTCCCGGCTCCAGGTGGCTGCGGAGGGGGTTTGCTCCGATGTCTAGATGCCCCCGGGGACGCCCCTCCTTCGCTCTGTGGCAAAGTCCGCTGCCCCAAGCAGCCAGAGATGGTGCAACCAGAACCCCCTAGCACCACGGGCAACACACACGTGAGCATGGGCGCCCTCCAAATGAGGATCCAAACTGTCAGGCTTCAGAAATTACCGAAATGGAGACGCTTGTCTGGTCATTTTCTTAGAGGAAGGAAGGGGCGGGGGAGGAGAAACCGAATGGATCCCGTCATCCTCATGCACGTACAACCGTCACCAAAAGACAGAACAAAACTAATCATAAGATAACAAAAGTGCTAACCAGGACAGAAATACCTAGTGGTGTCAGAGGGCGGGGGTGGGGGGTTAATCTTTACTTTGAGGAGAAAGGTTTGAAGAGCACTGATTGTGTGCCGTGGGGCCTCCGGCCTCAAATCAAATAGGCTGCCAGAGACTTAGGTCCCACTGAGGTCCAAGGTGAGGGGCAGGGGTCAGTGGTGCTTCCTAAATTCCTTCCAGATTGGTAAACCGAGAGAAAGGTCAACGGGATCGGTCTGCTCAAGCTCTACGAACTCAGGAGGTTCCTGTTTTATCTTCCCCCGCAACTGAGATAATCCGCGTGCGCACGGGTCCTCTGCTGGGACTGCTCTGACGGGTGCAGGTAAGGATCCTGTACCCTCAACCGACTTGAGGCTCCTGCCCTTTGGGGTTCCAGAGTTTGAGAAGCACATGCATCCCCAGACACCCGACGACCCCCGGCAGGTGGAGGGAGCAGGCTGCCCACTGATGGGGCGGCTCCACAGCGTGGGGGTCGGGGCCCCGCTTGGGGTTTAGGTCCCTCTGGCCCCCGACTGCCTCCGCCGGAGTGCAACTGGGACGAGAGAACAAGGTTTGCAATGGCACAGACCAGCACCCCTCCACTTCCAGGCGTGGCTTCTTCGGCAGCTCTCTTCCTGGGAGATGTCAGGTGGCATCTCAGGCGTTGACTTCAAAAGTCAGCTCACACACCTGGATCGAACTTGGGACTTGAGGGGGAAAAAAACAAAGCAAGAGACCATCTCCCTGTATCTGCTGGGAAAGTCCAGAATTTCCTCACAGCACTTCTGGCAAGACCTACCTGCAGAAGCCATCGCCTGTCTGTGAACAAGGCCAGGTTCAGGGTTTGCAACCTCAGATCAGAACAACTTAAGACTTACAATCGGACTTCTAAGAAGACAGATCAAAGTATGAACTCCTGAGCCCAAGGCTCCCTCCTCGACCTTTGAAACGACGTAACGTCACTCAGAGAGAAGTCAGACCCACTCAATCTTTCCGGCTGAAAGGTCCTATTCCTAAATAACCATTCATTCACGGCGACCTATATTCCCTGCAGATCCTTCCGGTGTGGCAGAGATGGCTGGAACAGAACGGCCGAAATACTGCAAAAATGCAGAATCTTAAAACAGAAGCAATGCCAAGAGCCAGTTTACCCAGTGCCTGAAACTTAGTATCATTTTATAAGGGTTTAAAAGGGCAACATAAGTACATGAGCATATGGAGAGTGCTCCCAAGGCCAGGAACCGACGTGCCCGCTCCTCCCGCCCCCAACCCCCCAGCCGCAGGCTGAGCGTAGGGCCGTGGGCGCGGCAGCCAGGCTGGAGCTCACGTCTCTGAAGCACACACAAGAAGCGTCATGCTGAAGGGCTGAAGGAATTAACCACGGATCCGAGATCGCAAACAGTCACTGAAGATCCGCCGACTTAACCCTTATGGCACGCATATGTGGCACCGAGTGACTCGAAAACCCAAGAATGCCTTGCCCCGCCACGCCCAGCGCTTGAAAACTCCCTTCCCTCCTCGGAAAAGAGAAGCCACAGCTTTATAAGAAACACACGTGCGGGTACGCCATCCCGGTGGGGGAGGGGTCTCTACCGCTGGCGGCCTTCCAGCAAGCTCCCCCTGGAGATCTCGAGAGGCAGCGGAACGGAGCCCGGACCCCAGAGCCGGCAGCCTGGGCCTCCTCCTCCCAGGGACTCTCTGCTCGAAGCTGCCGCCGACGAAGGGCATGGTTATGATGCCTCTGCCTTGGCCATTTCATCCTCCTAATGGGAAACAGATTTCTGTGGAAGCCGAGAGCCCCCAGCCCTGACCTTGCACTCTGGACTCAGGAGGCCTGAGCCGCATATGCTACATTGTCTAAAGAATTAGCCGAGTCTCTTATCACCCTGTCGCCACATTTAGGAGCCGTTCGGTGGCACCTTTCCTGCTAAAACAACTGCTGAAAATGTCTGAGGGGTGTCCTCAGATGGCCACAGGCTTTGTAATTGTTACCAGGTCCGAACACAGCAGGGTAACACCTTTGAAATTCTTTTACGAGGAGGCAGGTGGCGCTAACTCGGGCGCTGTCGAAGCTGAATCTGACGCAGGAGAACAGAGGGGATTTACGGCTCGCTCGCTCTGCCCTGGTCCGCTCTGTGTCGCTCTGGGAAGGCAGCGTGGCTTCGGCAAGCAGAGCGGCCTCGGGCGGGGTGGGTAGCACTTCGGCCGTGCGATTACCGTCTGGGTCACTTTTGACCAGAGTCGTGGCCTTTCCTGCAAACCTGTAGACCGTGAGCTTGACGCTTCTCCGCAGCCAGTTTTTTCAGAGCAAGAAAGACGCGGGGAGCACACACACATTAGGACTGTTTAAAACAAAAACACAAACAAACCCTTCTACAATCCGCAGCTGGACAGAAACTTCTATCACACGACACCAGAATCCCAGTCCTCGGAAGCTCGCACGGTGACCCACGTATAAATGTGTTAGCCGAGCCACCAGCTTTCACGTATATACATTCACTTGAGGCCGAGTCATCCGGGGCTCGAGCAGGCCCCACGGGCACGTCCCAGGAGCCTGCCCCGTTGAACCAGCCTCGGGACTCTGCACATTCAGCCGCTTCGCGTCCAAACGGCACGTGGTAGCCATTGCCGCGAGATCCACAGGTGGCGTTTAAAAAAGACGCAACTTGAACTCTGTCCACCGGGAGGGCGCAGAGGCCGCAGTGCCCTCGGCCCGCGCACGCCTACGAGGTGAGCTTCGAGTAGCTGGGCGGGGAGAACCGTCTCCGCAGATACTTGAGAACGTACAGGGGGAGACAGCTGACCAGAGTGATAACGGACACCTTCCACAAGAATGACAAAGTGGCGATGAAGTACACATCTGCAATGCAAGCAAAAGGGAAGACGGCGGTGAGCGGATGGAATGTTCCAGAAGGCCTGTGCAGCTCAGGAACTGCCAGCATAGCTATTGGGCGGGGGGGGGGGGGGGTGCTGCCTCTCCTCACTGACACATGGCCTCCTGGCACCGGCCCCTTTCCTGGGCTCTGTCTCCAGGGCTGGGATTCTCCCCACTCCCTCCTCTCTCTGACCTGTGCCATCACTGACAGTACTGAAATGCTACTTCCAACACCAGGAAAAGAAAACTACAGGCAGAAACAATTCTTACAGGTGTTTCTGATCTGGAATCTGACAGCTGGCGCTTTTCTTTGCAAACCCCGCCTCCCGAGAGCAGAAAGGCACTCTGACACCAGACGTGTTTTCCCCTCGCCTCCGGGATGGTCACCAAAGCCCAGGACGGGTCGGGTCTGAGGGCGGTGCAGAGCGGGAACCAGGTGGCCTAGGGGGCTTCCACTGAGGGACGGACGCCCCCTTCTGCGGCAGGACAGTGAGCCCGCGGTCTGGAGGGTTTTGAGAGAGCAGAGCACAGCCCGCAGCCTTCCTCAGTAGTGGAGTGGACACCACTTCTGGGGCACAGATGGGGAGCGTGTGGCTGGCACGGGCCATGGTCCCACCCGTGCGTCTGCCCAGCCAGCCCGTGACAGCTTCCTGAGGGCAGAGCTCGCCACCCCCAAGCCACTGAGCACACAGTAGGTGTTCACAAAAACGCATTCTGAGAGGACTCTCAGGACAAGTGTGAAACTAAGACTTCAGTAACCGGATGTTCCTTTCACCTTGACCAAAACCTTATGGAGCGTTTGCTGATGAACACGAGACCTGATCAGAGACGCCTTCAGGGGAAGGTGGAGTTTCTTAACCTACCGATAAGGACAAATCCTGCGGGACTTACCATTTATTCATGAACAAAACCTGGATGTCCGACATCGCATTCGCCCCCCAGAGCCCGGCACTGTGCCCAGCTCCCTCGAGAAACCTACCAGGTCTCTGTCGAATTCAACGGAACCCCCTTCTAAGTCACTTAGTGCAGTGTGTTTTTAAAAGGAAACACTCCATTGACATTGTGCCCACCAGCCTCTGTTCCGGGAAGCTGATCCACAGGTGCTATCTGCCCCACGGGGACACCAGTAAGAAAATGGGGGCAGCAGAGTGCCAAGGCCAGCTGGACCAAGACCCCAGGATGAGCGCTGGGGAGGGGGCCCCTGGACCTCACTGCCCGGCTCCAGCCACAGAGCGGGTCTTACCGATGAACTCGTGGAGGAACACCAGGGAGGCGATGTAGCAGGCCAGACTGAGCAGCTCGGCCACGGTCATGAGCCAGTGCCACGTCTGGATGGTCAGGGCCACCATGAGCAGCTCCGTGAGGATCAGCGACGTGAAGGAAATGGCCACGATGTGCACGAACTCGGACTCGAACAGCAGCAGGGCCCCATACATGATGGTGCTCCCTGTGAAAGCAGACGGAGCCGGTGTCCCCGCACAGCCCTGCCTGCCCGCAGCTGCCGCCCCTCCCGCTGCCCTCCAGAGCCCCCTCGGCCTGGGCTCCTTTTCCTTTATTTTCCATTCAGACATGAAAGATGGCACTTGCTAAATGAGGTTGATGAGTGGTGCTTTATGGAGGCTTTAAAGAGGTGTCTCGTTCTGATTTCCTACTTTCTCTTTGGACCTTACGTCATAAGGAGTCTATAACTGCAGGGGAGAAGAAAGAGAGAGAGACAGAGGGAGAGACAGAGGGAAGGAGGGAAGGGGAGAAATGGAAAGGGGAAAAAAACAAAAGAGAGGCAGGACAGAGTATCTGGAGTGGGTGAGACAAGAAACAAATTTAAATTTAAACACACTCTTTAAAATAACAGAGGTAAGCAGTCACAAAAAGACATATTCCGCTTCCAGGAGGTACCTAAATTAGTCCCTTTCATGGAGACAGAAAGGATAATGCTGGTTCCCAGGGGTTGTGGTGGGGAAGGGGGAATGGGGACAGAGTTTCTGTTTTGCAAGATGAAAAAGTTCTGGAGATCTTTCCTTACAACAGTATAATACTAGAGATGTGCAATGTAATTCACAAGCGTGCACATACTGAGCACTCGCGAAGTGTACCCTTAAAAAGACGGTATCTGCAGATGAATGGATGAAGAGGATGTGGTATATGGATACAGGGGAGTATTACTCGGCCATCAAAAAGGAGGCGATCTTGCCATTTGCAACAACGTGGATGGAACCGGAGGGTATCGTGCTAAGCGAAATACAGAAAGACAAAAACCGTATGATTTCACTCATACGTGGAATTTAAGATACAAAACAGATGAACGTAAGGGAAGGGAAGCAAAAATAAGATAAAAACAGGGAGGGGGACAAACCATAAGAGATTCTTAAATACAGAGAACAAACCGAGGGTTGCTGGAGGGGTTGTGGGTGGGGGATGGGCTAAATGGGTGAGGGGCACTAAGAAAGACACTTGGGATGAGCACCAGGTGTTATACATAGAGGATGAACCACTGGAATCTACTCCTGAAATCATCATTGCACTAGATGCTAACTAACTTGGATGTAAGTTTAAAAAAAAAGATGGTCAATCTTAAGTCATGTGTTCTTTTATGCCCTAACGCCCACAACACACACACACACACACACACACACACACACACACACACACACACACACACACACACACACACACACAATGCCAGAGGTAACCCAGAGACACTCAGAGCATCCTGTACCTATAAGGGAGAGGGAACGGATACGTGTCTTTCTAGCACAGCAGAAAGGTAGATGGTGCTCACACACAGCTCAAATATCTGACAGCACAAGAATATTACACAGAGGCAGAGCCAGGAGATGCTCAACCCCAAAAGTCCTCAAGCGACTGACTGCCCATCGTGCCAGGGGTTCAGGATGAAGGGGTGAAATGGGGCTTCAGTGCTCCTGATTTATGAACTTTTACATACAAAAGGTGGCTGCAAAAATCAATGCGTATATTATACTTTGACGTACTTCTTAAAAATCCTCCCCCCGATTTTTTTTCACTGATAATTTAACTTCCTGCCAACAATTTTAACAGTATCTACACCTATTGGTTGCACATGCCATCAGTAAGATCACCCCCCACAACACACAATGTACATTTGTAAAGTAGACGTCTGTACCTGGGCAGACGTAGACGGATATTAAGACCACTGCACAATTACATATATTATAAAACACGCATAAAAATAGAAATAAACACCAACAGGGGTTTTGGTAGTTTCTCCTCCTACACTTAAAAGTCATCCTACAAAGTGTCTCTGCAGTCTGAGAGACCCTCCCTGGAGGCCAGTGAAGCAGACACATTTCTCAAAAACTATAAGGACCTCAGAAAAAGTATCAGAACATTCCAGAAAGCAACCGCTTTTTTGTTACAGTGGCTTGCACACCCCAGCAGGTTGTGATTGGTGTTCGTTGTATTTTTCTCTGAGTCTGTCTCCTGAAGCAGATAGCACCTCCTCACAGATCTATCACCGTGCTGAATGTTCTGGTCCTTACAAAATGCCAGGTAGGCCCCCCCCCCTTGGGGTGCACCGTCCCGCCCCTTAACCCAGTTTCAGGGTTCCAGCTTCTTCGTGTTCTACAGACAACAGAACCCCCAGCGTAACCCCACAGCTGGTGTGACTTTTCTCACCTTGATAGATGCTAATCAAAACCCATATTAAGAAGGTCTTGTAGGACAACGGTCTTCCCTAAACGAGAGAACGAGAAAGAGCAGGTTATGGTGTGTGGCTCACCCAGGGTGTCAGCTGCCCCACGCTTCCCTGCCACCAACAAGGCAACCTGCCTGTTTTCATCAAAAAAAAAAAAAA